CCCCAAAACCCCAAAACCCCAAAACCCCAAAACCCCTTATACATATAAGAAAGTTGACATGAAGCTAATATTGTTATACAATGGAAAATAATAAAGAAGATATTATTAAAGAACCCAAAGACTGGGACACTTTTGTTGAAATGTATCAAGACGTTCTTGAACATTTTGCAATGCAGTCTCCAATCATTCTGTACAGTCTTACCCAAGCCAAGAAGTTCTCCAAAATCTGTGAGGTTGGTGTTGGTCCAGGCCTTGCAGCAAGAATGTTCATCAGTAACATTATGAAGAAGGGGGCCGCCTACTTCTGTAGTGATCTGTCTGACGAAATGATCAAAGGTTTCTATGACAACTTCCAGAACTGTGACTCAGCTCTGAATCCAAGAAATAAGTTGGAGATGATCGAAGACTTTGAAACTATTGACACCAACAAGCATATCAAAGAGATGGGAGATGAAATTGAGAAGAAGTTGTTTTTGGTCAAAGCAAGCAATGAGAAGCTTCCATATCCAGATGAGTGCTTTGATTTATATCTTTCCAGCTTGTCGTTGCATATAGTCGATAATTACATGGTCCAATTAGAAGAAGCATACAGAATTTTAGAAATTGGAGGAGTGGCAGGATTTACAATTCCTGGCAGAAAGGAGAACTGTACAATACATCATTTTGTTCCAGACGTACTTGAGAGTCTTGGCTATAGTATCCCTCCTCCTTCTAAAAAGGATCCTAACCATCTCAGTAATAAGGAAGCTCTTGAAAAAGATTTTAAAAAAATCGGATTTAGCGTTGTAAAAACGTATTATACCCAAGCGAATTTTATAATGAAAAACGTAACGGAGATGCTAAATATTATAATAAAATTCAAAATCCTCTCCAGTGTCCTCTCCACTCTCTCTCCCACTCAGATGCAAGAACTGACTGCAGAACTAGAGAAGCAGTGGGAACTCAAGTTCGGACAGGGCACTACAGAAGTGCAGGAGTTGGAGCTACTCGTCGTCATTGCTACTAAGTAGGCTAAGAAGTTCAGTCAATTTTAAGAGTCCAGATTGGGGTTTTGGGGTTTTGGGGTTTTGGGGTTTTGGGGTTTTGGGG